AGAGAGGACGGGGGGGGGGATGATGGGGGGAAGAAAGGGAAGTCTGAGCCGCAGTGAGGAGGAAACAACGAGGCGAAAGAAGGGAAGAGGAGGAAAATGTATTATTACGAGTACGAAGATACTTACTTTTTTACCTTTGCCGGTCGGGCGGGCAAAGAAAAGAAGCAGCCAAGCGGAAGAAGTCCAGCTGAAGTTCCAGACGCGACGGAAGGGTCAAGTGTCCGATTCAAAAGGGAAACTGCAGGGACGATCCCCAAAGAATAGAACAGAGAGGAGAGAGAGAAAGGAAGAAAGGAAGAATCACAAACAGACAGACAGACAGACAGACAGACAGACAAGCAGATAGACAGACAGAAAAAGGAATCCAACTGAATGGCAGAGTTTCCAGTGCTCTCTTCCCCACCGGACGGACACCACCGACAACAAATGCGACTAAGAAAAACAAATAGCCTTAACCGGCGACAGTTAACGGTATGAAGTTAAGTTAACTGGACTTGTGTTGGATTGTCCATTGAGGAGTATCCCACCCTCAGTTCTAAATTTGTGGTGCTCAATCTCGCTGTTGACTCGCGCACGGGAACTTTTTAATTAGAATCTTATGTTGTCTTATGTCGCTCTAACACCGCTCAGGAGTTCTTGGTATTCGAGCCACGGCAGGTCCAGTCTTGGCTAATTATCCTCTGGATAATTTACGCAAGAGTACTACTCCGTACGTATGGAGTACTTCGCAGAAAAGAGTAGAGTGAGATGGCGGTGGTGGCTAGTAATCTTAGGATTCGTACGTAGAAATAACCCGTGCCTGAGACTAACTCAAGGGAGAAATAGACTAGCCTCGATTACTCCTGAATTGTCGCGTTGCAGTGGGGTGGGTCGGACCCATGCGATGGGCTGGCTGTCTGCCTGCTGCGAACTTTCGAAACCAAAATTTCGCCCGGGGGATGGACGGGGGCCAGATTCCATGGTTCAATTTATGCATCTTTCTCCTCCCCTCCCCCCGGTTTCTGCCTGACCTGGACCGGCAAGAATGTGCCGGACGTCAATGGGAAAGAACCGCTGCCACTTCAGCTGTCAATTGAATCGAACCGTTGAATTGATGGAAGATAATTCGAAGAGGGATAGAAGGCTGCTGCGTACAAGGCCGATAACTAGAAACAATAATGTAGCGCAGTGGTTCCCATTGAAAGATAAGATGGAATTCTCGCCTGAGGCAGAAAAAAAACCAACAACCCCCATTGTTGATTCGATTACTGGGGGAGGGCTACGTACTCTTCTACCTAGCCTGCCATCTCCTCCTCGATTTGCCAATCGACTAGTCACTCAGTACCTTGCCTTGCCTGTGTACTTGTTGCTATGTAGGGTATTATCCCACCACTGGGATGCGAGGAGGTAGCTAGCTGTTCGGGCTAGAGAGAGGCCGAATGCTGCTACGTACTGGAAGCGTTCAAGGAGAGAGAGAGAGAGAGGGTTGGGATGGGTGCAGGGAAACAAGCCACAACCCACACAGCTACCGTGGCCATGCGGTGACCCTGGTGTGGCATGGTGTGGCTATTTTAGTGCCTCCTTGCCGTTCCCTTCAGGTGGCTGTCCGTCCACTCGGAGGGAAGACTCGGTCTTTTGTGAAACAGCGGTCTTAACAGATAAATTTCCAGCAGTTCTCCTCTGACAGGCTAGATATAGTCTACGACTCTACGTAGTCCGTATACTGTGTAGGATCCATCGCCATGGGGACATCTGATTCATATATACCCCAAATCAAGCACTATTCCCTAATGGTACCGGCTTATGGTTGACTGGGTCGTTAGCCTCTAAAGTCGAGCTTCGACATGGTTCTCAGTTCTCTATCCCGCACTATCCAGATCCTAGACTAAATTAGTAGCAATTTCAGCGGGTTGTTGATTAGAGAGTGAGCCCGGTGCTTGCATCTACTAGACACTCAGGTGCAGACACTGCAGTAAACCAATGATACTTGCTCGTAGACTTGTGCGTTCAGGGAAAAGTCGATTCTGGGATTGGTGTTAGTGGCATAGTCTAAGCTGCCATGCTTTCAACAATCGAAGCATATTTCTATGATGAAACGCAAGAAAGCGACATGACACCAATAGACGATTCGATATAGCGAGTCAGGTGTAACTACCGAGTGAGTGTCCTAGCGATGTTAATTGAGGTACAGTTCATAAGACCAAAGGTGTAGCAGTGCTCAGGGCTTTTCACACCGCCTACCTTGGGAGGGCTCATTTGCCGAGAGAATATCAGCTTCCCGCGATACCATTGGAGGAGACGGGAGCGGTAGGTGGATTTGCGGGCTAAGGATTTCGACTTCCACTGTAAAACCGAGGGTAAAACAACAGCAAAAAGAAATTGATCTTGTGACTCCGATACGGGGAATCGAACCCCGATCTCCTGTGTGAAAGACAGGTATGATAGCCGTTACACTATATCGGATCAAGTTATTAAAAAGTCCCAGTCCTTTGTTTTATGTTCTAAAGTTGTCCGAGACTGTAGACTGCTTAACTGCTTTCTCGCGATTGCCGCTCGGCAGAATTGTATGTGACGGTAACCCGCCAAATGGAAACGTGAGCGTGGCCTCTTTCTGGCAACCCGCACCTTCACCTCCCCCGACCTTCTGCCATCCACCTCGTCCTTCTTCTCCCCAGCCGACATCCTTCCTTGTCCCATCGGCCAATTGACCCATTTATCTCTTTGGCCATCATCAACTCTAATATTGCTCTTGATTTCTTTGCTTTTTAGCCCTTTCTTGATTCCACTTTCATAATGGTCAGTGCCCTCGTCCTGCCCGTTGCCTCAGCGCGCACCTCGATTGTCCTTTGCGCGAGCTGGATGATCTCCCCCAAGCCGACCACCGCTCTTCATATCAGCATTCGAATTGAAACTGACCTCAGTGCCATAGGCTTCTCCTCGTGCTGCTTCTCCCCTGACCTCCGGAGCTGAGTCCGGCCCTGACTCCAAGTCTGCCGGCGCCGGCTCCGGCGCCTCTGCCGTCTCCTCCGTCAACCGT